AACGAACAAAATAATTGTCAAACAACTAACCAAATAGTAAAAAAGAAAAAATTCAAATAATCCCAATTAGTTAGAAAAAATAACTAAAAGAGTATAAACAAATTATAAAAAGAAAATTAGAAAAAAAATAGAGAGAGAGTATAAACAATAAACAAAAATAGAGAAGAAACATAAATTTAAATTAAGAAACAAATATGAATGATAAAACAAAAGAATTTTTATAAATTGAAAAACAACAGATTAAAAAATAAGTCTACTACATACCACATACAAAATAAGTCTACTACATACAAAATAAGTCTACTACATACCACATACAAAATAAGTCTACTACATACAAAATAAGTCTACTACATACACAATAAGTCTACTACATACAAAATAAGTCTACTACATACCACATGCAAAATAAGTCTAAATAAGTCTACTACATACAAAATATGTCTACTACATACACAATAAGTCTACTAAATACAAAATAAGTTTACCACATACAAAATAAGTCTACTACATACACAATAAGTCTACTACATACCACATACAAAATAAATCTACTACATACAAAATAAGCATACTACATACTACATGCAAAATAAGTCTACGACATACAAAATAAGTTTACTACAATACAAAATAAGTCTACCACATACAAAATAAGTTTACTACATACAAAATAAATCTACATACAAAATAAATATACTACATACATACAAAATAAGTCTACTACATACAAAATTACTCTATCAGACTACCACATACAAAATAAGTCTACTACAAAATAAGTCTACACACTAAAAATATTATAAAATATTTTAATAGGTTTTTATGAGATTATTCACATAAATTTATTGTTTGATAATTTAACTCTATAATAATATTAATTGTTAAAATGTGTAAAAATATGTGTTTTTGTTATTAAGAATATGATTGAATTCCATTTATGTATATATATTTTTTGGCATGCATAATATGAATTAAGATATAAAATTAAACTTTAATGGTTTGGGATATAAGTTTAAATATTTCCAAATATTTTGTAATTAAATGGTTACTGACTAAAACATAAATTTTTATATTAATTTTTTTTTATGTGTTTATCCGCGTTTTAACGCGGGTCATATTCTAGTTTTATATCACAGACAATCCATGATGGTATTTTTGATAATAAACACACCAAAAATGATACTTTTGCAATTGTTCCACATAAAAAAAGAGGGTTTTTTTTTGTCAAGAAAAAAAGTGTTTTTTATACCTTTTTAACGATGATTTTTAACTTCGTACAAAAGGGCTTATTATTATTGTTTTTAACTTCTTTTATTAGCTCCAAGGAATTCTTCGAAACAAGTTCACCATACAACATCAAATTGTTAGGATTGATTACTTTTCTCGCTACCACCAATAAATATTACGTTTATGGATGGTTGGTATCATAACAAGCAATGGCATTGTAGGGATTTTTTGTTACAAAGCTTAATTGGCAATTTAGTTTGGTTCACCTCAAGCTTAACAATGTTGATCAAAATGACGCGACAGAATACCTCATATTTGGTAAAAACTGATTAAGCAAAGCACTAATTGCAGCCAATGGATAGATTAACCCTTTTAGGGGGGGTTGGTTTTCTATTCACAAGGTCACAAACCATCATCATACATACATACCTTAAGACTTCACAAAAGTCAATGATACTCAAGAGAGGGAAGATTTCCTCCATTACAACAATGTACCTCTTACCTAAAGACTTGTCTAACTTTGATCCTACAGACTGAGATTCAAGTATCTCCTCCTTTGCCTCACCATGGTAGCTCCTCTAGCAATCTATTTCTACAGTCTATTACCTGAGTTCCATTCCCAGCTAGCTGTTGTTTAAACCAATTTTTTTTAATGACAGCCACATCACCAATTTTAAACGGAAAGTTGACTCACTTAACGGTTTTGTGTAAAATGACCATTTTTAAATATTTTATGTGGTAAATTCAAAAATTAATCTAGTTCATGTGTGTTTTGCCTTGGCTTATAGTTCTAAGTATAAAAATAATCAGCATCTACTATGTTCAAAGGGGAATTGGCCGTTTTTCCGCAGGATATGTCTGAAAAGATACATATTTACTTACTTGAATACTAGATTTTGACTATTGAATCTCATCAAATTCATTGGTTTTCCATAAAATGTTGTTGCTATATATTAATTAATGTCAATGGTGCTTCATATAATCGAATTACTCCCAAAAAAATGTTGACAATGAAAAAATAACTATTCCAGAAAAACAAATGTGGAATGTGTATATGAATATGACTCCGAATTCGATTATCGGAATTCAGAAACACTTCCTTCCATATATGTTCTTAACCGCCCAAGTAGACATAAGTCTCAAGATTGTAGAGTTGCAACGATTTATGATCCACTCGTATAAACCGTTGTTCTTGAGAGAGATCAAAGTGTTTGTGGATGAATCTCTTATCATTTGAAAAAAGTCAAGTAAATTTTACAGCGACACCAAGAAAAACAATAAAATTAAACTCGAGCTCATCTGCAAATTCCTCAAGATTTAACAGCCAAAACAAAATAATATACACACGAGTTTTCAATTCATTTAAAAAACTTTCTTGCTTATTCCAAAATTTCTCATCTTTTTTTCTTCAGTTTTATTGATTTTGAATCATAGCTATATTTCTTTTCTTATAAATCATCACTGTGATTTACCGCATAATAATAACAAGAAAAACACATCAACTACTTTTGTATATGTGTAACCATATGCTTTGTAAAAGTCTAATTGTATAAATGGGAACATCTATATAAATAGAAATGCATAGCATATGTGATAAAAGAAACAAAAGCTTAAAACATGCATGAAAACTAGCAAAAGCAAACCTCTCAAATGTCTTTTATGCGTACCTTCGTCTTCTTATTCTGGAACCGCAACCAGACTTGGAACATAATTTACATAGCAGTGTTGGAGACGGCTACCATACAGACGTCCTGTCCAAATTTTTATCTTGCTCTCACCCTCAAACATAATATTATTGGTCTTGTGAATGAAATATGTAAAAAAACTGCAATCGTAACTAGAATAGAATATCGGGATATCAGGGAGAGTCACATTAAAATACTTGCTCCACAAGACAACCCTATCAGTCACCTCGTTTGTAACCCACACCTCAATCATCTTCACATCTTTTTGTTGATGTAATAAAGAAAGCCTATCTCCTCCGAAAAACCTGACAAGACGATTATATTGTATGTAAATTAATCATACCTAACCAATCAGATTCAAAGGTAAGGCAACATATGTGCTTGAATGTCTCTGTGGAGTAATCAAAACTTTGGATAAAGAATTCGATATCGGAGTTATCCTTGTTCCTATAAGCAATCCAATACATGTTTCCATTCACAGACACAGCATGGCACTGTTCACGCCAAATCTTTGCACCACAACAACCATCGAAATTAGCATCAACACTTCTCCATACTCTAGACTTGAACTCATATATCTCAACATATGATTTGTCTCCTTGATGGAACCTCAAGATCTTGTAGTTGTCACGGGATACATTGTCGTATCCAAAACCATAGATATCAGACAATGTTGTGTCAGAATACGAGGGTTTGATCCGTTTAACTCGTCTCAAAAACGGATTCCAAACTACAAGCTGCTTTCTAAATACAATATAATCACCTCCGCTTCTTTCTTCAACACACSAACATAGCAATAATCCGTCACAGTGAATCATTGTAGAAATATCAGATGGACCTTGTAGACGTGAGAGATCTTGAGTCTCAAGATTGAAGAGTTGAGTCGATATACCATRGAATCGTATGAAGTGTTGTACTTGAGAGAGATTCAAGTGTTTGTAGATGAATCTCTTGTCGTTTAAAAGAGTGCACCATTGTTTGCATACAGATTTGTATCGTACCAATGATTCGATCGGAATCCTGTAAAATATATCTTCTACTAAATCAAAAGGCAGCGACGACAACGAACGTTTTGACTTTGACGGAGCCATGGAAAATAAAATAAGAAAACTAGGTCACCAAGAGAATACCCAAAAAAAAACTCCTTTTGTACGTTACTCAATATATAATGTATTTTATAAAATAAAATCCTTCTTGAAAAAAAAGTCCTTTACATATATTTTTGGACAATTACAAAAATGTCACTTATGGATGTCCATTTACAAAAATGCCACTGATTATAAAATCTATATCTTAAAATTCTAAACCCTAAAAAATGTTTTGACATCTAAAACCTCCTAAACACTCAAAACTAAACTCTAATAGAACATAATTAACCCAAACATAAATAATATAAACAAAAAAATAATTTTGAAAAAGTGGCATTTTTGTAAAGATTTCAAAAGTGTGGCATTTTTGTAAAATAGCATTTGAAAAATGGTTTTTTTGAAATTTCTCTATATTTTTTTAAAAATATCATCGTTAAAAAAGTATAAAAGACACTTTTTATAAAGTATCTTTCTATATGTAAAGGGGCTTATTATTAGTAACAAAAGTTTAGCTTGTGTTCGATAAAAGAAAATGTTAATTAGTTGAATATCACTTTGACGAGAAAAAATTAGATAAGTATCATGTCAAAAAAATAAAATTAGGTAATTAGTAGAGAGAATTAAATATATGACAAAATTATCCCTACATATATAATTAAAGTAATAATGAAAAAAATCCATAAAAAATTATATTTTTCTGTACTTATCTCTGAAAAAGTAGATATACTCTCTGCAAACAAAATAAAATTAGATCAGAAAACAACGGATGACAAAAAAAAGTAAATATTTAATCAAAAAGTTAACTATATGATAACATACAGTAGCTAACTATTTTCAAAATTACATATTTTGTTGATCTCAGAAAATAGTTAGTTACATCACACTATTTTATAAATATCTAAAATAGTTAACTATTTTGCAACATATAGTTTTATTTTTATTTTTTTTATCGGCAATCCATTCATTGATAAGCCCAAAAGGGCAATTTACAGAAGGTTTACAAAGGAAACCAGCCCACACATTATTGGATAAGCTACATGAGACATGCATGAAGGAGATGTATTGTGACCGATGAAAAAAGTAAGAAAAAATATAAGAGTTGTGATGAAATCTATAAAAGATTAGAAAAATATTAAAAAGAGATTCATAATCGAAGAAGAAAGATGTAAGAACTTAATGGAAGGAGAGGTTATCATACGTGAGAGATGTGAAGTTGGCGGTGAAGGAGGGATTTTGAAGATTAGGGTAAAAACGTTTTTAAGTTTTAATTTATTTATTTTATATAAAAGTCTGTATAATTATAAAAAACTAAATCCGTAATTTTAGATGGGTCAAATGCTATTTACTATATTATGTTTTATATAATGTTAGATAATAAATTATAGATAAAAATGTTAATATAGAACCTAATTTCTCAAAAAAGAGACTAATTATTATTTTGATTTTGTAGATAACTTA